AAAATTTTAGATTATTTCTTTTCTACTTATACAGCTTCTTCTTAAAATACTTTCTCAAATATGACATGATTTTTTAGCTTCTAAGGCATCTTTTAAATCGAATAATCTAATTTATAATTAATGTTCTATTCGCTCCATTTCAAATAGAGCACCTTTTATTTTAATAGCGAAATAATTTCAATACTACTTAACTTTCTCTGAATATTTCTGAAAGGGAATAAAATAAGGATTATTTTTTAAATATTATTTAAAACTTGTAACTGACTTATATAAGGGGAATAATTCTTTTAATTATACTTATTAGATTTTTTTACCCTTAATTTCAGCAATACATACTCCAAAACTCTTCTTCAGAAAAATGACCAAGGGCCGAGACTACGGCATCTATCCTCCTGCTAAAACGCCGTAGACAAGCCCCCGCCAGAGAATATATTCTTTGCCCCCGCCTCTTCAGTTCCAGCATGGAAGTAGAAGGTAAGATGGAGTAGCCCTAACCGGTTTCCTCCATACATAGCTTTGAAGCGCTGGTGTCAAGTATTATTATTTATAGAACACTATAAACTTACAGTCATATGCAATAATTACTACTAAACATCATTACTGTGTAATAGAAAATTTTCATGTTTTTAGCTAATATGGATTTTGGATGATATGTGAATAGGTTCAACATCAGAAAACACTTTTCTCAACCAGTACTGTATCAATCACATTAAATAACAATACGTGTAATTGTCAGAGTAAAACATAACAATAAAACAACTCTAAATACACTAAAGGTGTTTGCGTTGTGTTTCGTATTGTCGGGCAGTAACCCGTTCAATTACTATGGTCCAGTGCAAAATTAATTACAATTAATTACAATACAAGGTAAGTAAAATAAAACTAACGCTTATTTATGATGATAAAGAGATTTGGTTACAATACTGATAGTGTCATGATAGTCACAATTTTCATTACAATTACTAAGAGGTGGCTGGTTAACATACTTTTCAGAAGTACCGCTAAAAAGGAAACAAAAAATCACATACCTTTAAATCTTTAACATTACTAACATAACCAATGAGCGGAGGGCCCTGCTTCTATAAATGTTGCAATAATAGTAAAAATAAGAAAAATTAATATAACAGCAAACTCATCTTTCAATACTGAAAAGGGTTAATCATGAAGGATAACATACAAAACCGGTTTACACCAGAAGTGAATATTTTGTTTAACACTTAATTTGAGGAAACACGTCCAATTTACTGAAACAGGCAAACTGCAAGTGATGTTTTTTTTCCATGGAAGGGATACACCAGGAGATTGTTTTTTTTTCACATGAATGAAGAAGCCATAACGTCTAATCTGCAAAAGGAATAAACAAATTAAATTTTAGTGGTACAAATCTTGAAGCACGGCTGTCTCCCCGGGACGCCTCGTCTACCAGAAATGAACAGTAGGAACCATTTCGGCTACGAAAGCGAGAAGGTAGAGGTCAGTAGCCATCGAATTTCCAAACTGACACAACTCTCTCAAGCTCTTCGCTGTGCCTCCTCGTCTCCGAAGCGGCTGCCCTTCACGCTAAACGATAAAGTTGACATCTTTAGTTTTTTTTCGAACGTCTCATGAAATTTCTTTTCTCCGTCTCTGTCGTCATCCACTGCGAAGCCGCTTAAAGTACCTGGCCCGATTTCGAAAAAATTGGCAAAGTATGATGATCGAAAGAACGCCAAACACAGCAACTCAAACAAGAGAAATCTTCACAGGAAGGGGTTTCCCGACTACCAGAAGACGCCAACTATCGCGGTTATACCATGCGGCCTCCAAGGCCACTCCGCTGGGTCAACCTTCTCTCTGCTATTGGAAAAGAGGGGAAAGTACTAGTCCCCCCCGGGATGCAACTCCACTATGCCGATCTCAATATCCAAAGACTTTTCACTCACATAAACAAACTCTCCATAGAACTTTTCCCCGCTACAGATGTCACAGTAAACGGGGTCCCGGGTGCTTAATGGCAGACCTCACATTGAGTTGAACAGTGTTAAACGAATGTCGCATACTGCGCATGGCCAGAAAACAATTTGGCGTAATTACTATGTTGGCGCGATTTGAAAAGAAAATAAATACGGTATAGGGTGTACCGCCATCTGATTGTAAACAAATCTGGCGTTTAAATCTTCGTAGAGTATAATGTAAATGTAAATTAATTACTGTGTTAAAATACTACTTTTTGCTGTACTGCTCAAACACTAGAAAGCTGAAATTATTGCGAAGTAATGTGAAGCAGTGTTTGCATTCAAAATGTAAAATATAATAATTATGAAATTCTGCACATTCCTTTGGAATTGTACAAATTTTCGTTCAGAAAAAGACTGAAAGTTAGGATATATTAGTTGAAAATTTATTCATTATACTTTTAAGCAATAAAAACAATTCAGAATTTACCATACGTTCCATTCGTACGTAAGAAACACTGAGGAATATAACAAGCGCTTGCAAATAACACTGAAGAAATTTTACAATTCCTTAATGCTAGTTATTAAATTCTTTGAAATGAGAAAATAAAAGCGCGAATATACGCTAACAAACTAAGCGAGATACTCCAGTTTACAATTACTGAATTATAACATGAACACAAATTACATTTAAATAACGAATTATTACGAACATATGTTAACAAATATTAAATGCACTGTTATTGACAAATTAAAATGAAATATATATTAGAAAAATAAGCAAGTACAATCGGTATGGACGTTAAAATAACTAATAAGCAAAGTTCCACAACATTGCAGTTGTAAACATCACTCGAACACACTCGACAGCAATGGAGATCACGAATAAGCTAGCGTAGGGTTGCTTAGTCGCCAATATTTCTCCCCGTGCCAGAGGTGCAGGCGCAGTAAGCGAATTTGCTTAACATTGTTTAACTCAATGTGCGGTCTGCCATTACGCGTCCCGGGTATGCAAATACTGCACGTGGCGCAGTCATCAGGACACGTGGGGAAGACATCAGACATGTGTTCAAACGCTTGGAAGAAAGAATCTCGGAGTGCAGTAATTCTCAGATAAGGAATTCTGAGAAACACGTTCTCAGCCGACAACTTTGGATGTGAAAAATTTCAATACCAATGAATAGTTTTTCAACACAATAAACGAATTTAGGACATTAAAAATTAAACTATTACTTAGCTATTAAATTCATTAAAAATGTCAGCACAATACAAATTGTTTCTTCTACAGAAATTAAGTATACACACTCATTATCCAGATCGAGTTTCAATTACAATTGATTTACTTTACCACCAGTCAGAAAATATGAATGCAAAATACTTTAAAAGAAAGAGAGGAAAAACTAAGTTACCTCAAATAAAATTAAAAAATTAACACACCAAATATGCAGCAACAAGGCTTTAAAATAATTAAAGTTAAAAGTTAAACAAACTTAAGGGTCAAAAACAAAAAGTACAAAAACCAAGTAAACTTAAGTCCCTAATCACAAATTAAAATTAAACTACTTCAACATAAGAAGGCTTTTAAAGCAATCAGACCTAAATTTAAAGTTTGCAAAAGTTACAGTTTAAACTTACAACCAACATTAAATAACTAAAGAAAATTTTATAACATCAGTTACGAAACAAAACTGAATTAAATAAGCAAAACTTAAAGCTTGAAAATAATAACAATTAATACATAACACTTGCGATTCCTTGGTGGTGAGCAAAATATTGGTTAATCAATTGGTTTTGACACGATCAGATGTAAATATTTTGAAATTACGTCGTAAATATACATATAAATGCATATATTTTCTTTTTCTACAGTATTTCAGAGTCTTAAGTATATGAAAAGAATACATTTGTAAACAACATTTCATTCTGAACGGAATTAAATAATATACTTTTCACGGAACAGTTTGCTCAGAACGCTTTAATTTGAATGAAATATTTTCACAAGTTTTCCTTAATTACATTAGAAAAAAATTGTAAGGTAATTCGATTTTATTCGGTTAAGGGTTACAAAAATTAAGATCAAAGTCTATTGTATTAATAATATTAAAATTGTGCATTATTTCTTTTCTATATATAGAGCTTCTTCCTAAAATATGACATGATTTTTTAGCTTCTGAGACATCTTTTTAAATCGAAAAATCAATTTATAATTAATGCTCTATTCGGTCCATTTCAAATTAGATAACCTTTTATTTTAATTGCGAAATACGTTAATTAGTACTTAACGTTCTCTGAATATTTCTGAAAGGGAATAAAAAAAAGGATTCAAAAAAAAAATTATTATTTAAAACTTGTAATTGAGTTGTTATAAAATGTAAGGGGAATAATTCTTTTAATTATACTTATCATATTTTTTACCCTTAATTTCAACAATTACATATTCTAAAACTCTTCTTTATTACTTTCTTAAATACGCATCTCATAGAAATAGCTTTACAATACCTTTTAACAGATTGCTTTCCAGTACGAACAATTCTTGCTTAAATAGTTTTATAATGTATTTGTCAACAGGATTTTAATTTATGTTTACAATTCAATGCTAATGTTATTATATATTTAGATAATATTTATAATCATTATAAATTTACCTGCATTTAATAATTAGATATCTTCACAGTAGCTTTCACAGTTGTTTATGAATGAATAAATCCTTCATTTCAAATACATTTATAAATAATTTAATAAATATTTACGTATTTTGTTAAAGGCAGATGCATGCTTTTTGCCGTGATCAATGTTAAGAGGAGTTTGGACTCCTGCTTCTACGCTTCTGACAATTCTTATGGGTTTGAAGAAGTAAGGGTAGTCGTTCGGATCCTTAATTGAGGAAATATGCTTGTATGCGCCCTTTACAACACTCCAGATCTCAGGCTGCAAGATCAACATGTACAGAATTTACTAAATAATGCCTTTCCCACCATAATCGGAGGTGATCTTAATACTAAACTTGTTAGCTGGGGGTGCCGCAATACAAATAAAAACGGTGATATCCTTCAAAACTTCCTGTTCTATTACCCATACTATACATTTACCCCCCCCCCAGAAGATTTTATTTTCCGGCCTACTCACCCAAAACAGTATTCAGACATACTGGATCTTTTCCTCACATCTGATAACTTACCGATCACTACGGAAGTAATCAATGACCTTTCTTCAGATCAAGTGCCAGTTCTGGCACACCTAGGTATCATCAGGCCTGAAGACAACACCACATACAAAATTACTGATTGGGACAAATTCAAATCTGAAATTAAGAATCACCTCCCCAAAACAGAGCAACTTAAAAATACGCATGATGTCGACCAGGCTATCACAAGCATCACCACCTGCATTGATAAGGCACTGTACAATTCTACTACAGAAATTATTAATAAAAATCATCACTTCAAATTTCCGCGAGAAATTAAATTAATTAGCCAAACACGAAATACACTCATGTCCATAAATTAAGGATAATTCGGAGTCACGCGGATCGAACTCTAA